GCTCAGTGGGCATATAGGACGAACTATGAGACGCCGATTGGTACTTCTCCATATCGGTTCATCTATAGAAAGGCCTTATAGGCCAATACGTTGCTCAACCTTGATCTGAGTCTTGCAAGTACCAAGCGAAAAATGTAGTTGGTGGATCTGGAAGAGTGGCTTTATCACACCTATGAGAACACTATACTATATAAGGAGCGAACCAAGCGTCTCCATGACGCTCGTCTTAAAGGCTCGAAGGAGTTTTAGGTGGGCGATCGCGTTTGCTATAAAATTCCCGCCTGCGACTCTTTCCGTAAAAGCAGCTCTCCCGGTGTTCTGGACCATTCACTGCCACTTAGGTGTTCCTATATGGCACCATCGCGATTGCCAATCCTCATATTGCACCTTTCAAGGTGAACGGGCATCGCCTCATGCTGTACTTGGGAGGCAATGTCGACCGCCATCTAGGTCCAGCTAAAAGACGGTAAAGAAATGCTTGTGGGAGGCAACCCCACCTCGGTTTGCATTTTCTTCTTTTCTCTTTTGTTTTTGTCATTTTATGTGTTTCAAGTGTCGAACATGGAGCTTTGTGGTCAATTTTCATGCTTTGTAGGGTAATTTTCTGTGAATTTTCAGTTTCGATGGTCTGCGGGGTGTTTTTGGACGTATGGTGTTGGTTCTGGTGAGTTTGGGCGGACAAAGGCAGACAGATCCCAGGAGTTACAGCCTCAGGTGAAAAGTTATGGGCGTGATCGTAACTCTTCCTCAAGGCCGGTACCTTTAAAATTCCCTCTAGATCGACTGGGCATCTTTACGGTCACAACCATGATTTTGAGTGTAGCCCGTAACTGTGCTTGCTCTGGAAACCAGCGAGTTACGACCCAAGTTATGACTGTAACTCACTGGAGTTTCCCGTTACTTGCCCGATTAAGCCGTAACTTCAGCTTTGCCTATAAAAGAGCGAGTTGCACCCCATAAACTCCTGGCCAGAAACACCACCACCTCGTAGGAAACCTTAGGTGGGAGAATGTGTTTGCCAGAGAATGTCTAGTTTGCATTGCTATTGTGTATCTGTTAGATATTGGTTTAGTGTCCCGTTCCTTCGGATTTTTGTTATATTGTGTAGTGGATTGAGCTTAAGTGTGGGGGAATGTTGGCTATTTTCCCCCACTAATGTTGGTACTAACAAGTTTCGAGGTATGTGGTTGTTTGTTTTGCAGAGAAATGGTCAACATGGACCACCCCTTCCTGTAGGTCCTCCGCTACATCGAGGCCTATGATGTGCACTTCGATCGGATGCTCGAGGCCCAGGTTGGGGCTCACTACTGCCTCAATCTAGCCTACTTCGAGCAGTTCCTCTTTCGTGACGCCATTGAGGTGGCAGTTCCCCACCCTTACTGGCGCCGCCTCCTGGAGCTCTAGGACGACATCTTTGAGGAGCCTACTTTGGAGTTCTACAACACTTTCTACCACTCCAGGAAGCGACAGGACTACGATGCTGGCGCGGTCACCTTCCGACTTGGAGGTCAGCACCACATTCTAACTTATGATGAGTTCGCCACCTCCCTCGGCTTGGATCCCGATGACCAGTTCCGGGTGGAGCCCACCATTCCGTAGGTGGATTTTCAGGCTTTTTACGAGTGGACCTGCTTGCAGCAGCACGTCGGGGTTCCCTACGCCCATAGTCGGACCAGGGCCAGCCAGCTCCAGACCCTGTGTTGGTTCCTACATGCGCTGCTTGCTCATTCTGCCATTCCAGTCAGGAGGCCTTCGGTTAGGCGACGAAGAGGCGCATGTATGCGCTGCATGGAGGACCTTACATCACTCGCCTCACCCCGTACTTCGGAGTGCCTCTTGGTGGGTGCACTTGGGTTAGGCGCACCAGAGACTTCCCCGATGAGACCATGTACTCCATGGGGTTGATTCGGGTCGCGAGTACAGACCCCATGATCCATTGGCTCAGGGGCTTGCGCCCTGTCGAGTTCGCCGAGACCCCTGCCGCAGGTGGAGTTCCAACATCCTAACGCTGACCCACTGCAGTTTTTCCCTGATACCTATGGTGACGGTTCCTCTTCGACTGCACCATCTGACGATCGTTGGGCGGCCATGGATGCGCGCTTCGACCTGTTGGAGGGGCGTATGAACCACGAGCGTGACGCACAACGTTAGTCTCACTTCCTATTGCATCGTCTGTGCTTAGCTGCTGACGTGGACACCACCCAGAACTTCTAGCACCCGTCTCCTACTTAGGATAATTACAAGGAGGATTGAGCCTGACCTTGGACCATGGGCCTCTTGTTTTGTGTTTTGTGTTTTTGTTTCGTATGTCGAACTGGATAGTTTTTGTGTTTTTTTCTTTCTTTTATTTTGTTTGAAGCCATGGGGCTGACAACCGTTCTTCTAACTCTTACCCAGTGTGAGTGGTTGTGTTTTTTCTTACCGTGCTTCTCAGAAACTGGTCCTTTTTCCAATCTGCGCAGGACGACTGGTCCCCTTTCCAGTCCCACTATAGTCCATTCTTGCCGGTAACATCATTCCCCTTATCCTTCCCTCTTCTCCACTGAGGGAAATGTCGATCTTAAGTGTGGGGGTGTTTATCTTTGACTGCTTAGAATGCGTTTGTGTGCTAGGAGCCTAGTCCACTATCCAAATTTAACGATTTGAGGGCTCCGAGTATTGTTCCTTGCAATAACCTGCTCAATATGCTTTGATTTGACAGTCTTTATGGTCATATGCAACCTAGGGAGATATTTGTAGCACTATGGAGGATGCTGAAGTATAAGATTTGTCCTATTTTTCTCTCTATTGTGTCGGTTGATTGTGTGAACTAGTGGATTTAGGACCTTTGATTCATGTGGTATTGATGACTCTTCTTGTGCTGTGTTGTGGACTCATGTATCGTAAAAGGGTGTTAAATTGTGCGAAATGAAAAGGAGGTTGGTCCTCCATGTCAAAAAATGTGAAATTTTAAACATGTGGTAAGCCTAACGTGTGTGGCGCCGTTCATTGCACAAAATCGGGCTTTGAAGAGATTTTAGTGATTTTTAGTGGGGAAGGCCTACACGGTGAAGCTAAGCCGTCTCTAGTACAGGTAAAATTTCCATCGGTGAACATTTTGCCTACTCGAGGATGTGTTTTTAAGGGCAATGATAGAGCTTCCTACACACCTTATTTTCATTGACCCTGCACACGAATTGAGGAAAAAGAGTTACAAGAAGTACTCTAGCGAGCGACAGATGTACAGAAATTGCTCTTTCTCAACCAGTAAGGGTCGACTGCGCATAAAAACTGCAATTTGGAACCCCTACAAGTATAAATGTGAAAAAAAAAAAGAAATAGCAAGAAAAAGGGGATTCTTGCGAATGAAATGGGATGGAAGATCACTTGATACGAAGATTGCCTGGATGTTGAATTGTGCGAGCCTCTTTATCCATAAATTGTCTTTCCTAGTTCCACTGCTTCTCATGATACTGGTTTGAGTCTAGTACTCGCATTGAGAGAAATATGGCATGTCTTAGAAAACTGGTTGACCTCATAATCTGCTAAATGACCTAGGAAGTCTTCTACCAACGATTGGGGTTGCATGTTGCTGTAAAGGTCTGGAGAGTTGCATTAGTTTGAGTCAGGTTTTCTTGGGGACAAGCAAACGGTTAAGTGTGGGGGAATTTGATAATGTTGTATTTGAACATGTTTTTCCCTTCATTTCTTGATCGTTTGAGCTCACTTTCTCGCTCTCGTGGCCTATTTTACGCTAGATTGTGTTGGTTTATGACGTTTCAGGTCCTAGTACGTGAATGGGTGCAAAGGAGCGAGTTTTGGGAAAATTTGGAGCGAACTGGCAGTGAGCAGGAAATAGTTATGGTCAGGAGGATTCTTGAAGTTAAGGCCCCCTCCTCAAAATTATAGTCACAACCGTAACTTCTCTAAATAAGATGTAACTCTTGGTTTATGGAGCACAGCGACGACGACGTTTTGAGAGAAGTTACGGGCTAGGAGAAGGAGTTACAGCCGTAACTTTGGGAGTAACTCGTGAATCATCAGCAAATAAAAGGGGAGCTCGGGAAAATTGCAAAGGATCCGTATTTTTGGAGTTCCAAAGGCAGAAAGAGAACCCTAGAGAGTGAAAGTGATGAAGAACAACACTTGGGCAAAGATTGGAGCGATTTGAATACCTCGAACCTTGATTCCTCACTCTCGGAGTACCGATTAGCCACTTAGAGCATATTTTCATTGTCCACGTGATGATTTCTCCTCCTAGCTTGATGTTTTCTCTTCTCTCCATGGAGTAAACTCACCCTTCATCCCCTAGTTTTGTATGCTACGAATGGTTGCACGAATCCCGTTTGCAAATGATTTATTTGATATATTCAATTGAGGCATTAATCAGAATTGCATGAGTCTTGATCAAACTTTTTTGATTCATGCTTTAACCTAGAACGATAGTCTTTTCATAGATTAATAGAGCAACCTTAATTGGAAGTGGTGAATCAATTGCTTTAGTTGAGAAGTCGATTCACTACTCTGTACTGGAATTGAACCAGTAGAGAAAGTTTGGTGTGTTATTTCTTTTGTTGGTTTATACCGGTGGAGGTTAGTTTCCCGTCGGGTATTCGAATTGAGAGGTTCTGGATTACTTTAGTGGAGATTCCAGACTAGTCAAGAAATTTCCACAGTATCTATCAATCATAGTAAATCGGGAACATATAATTTGAATTAGCTGCATACTAGGGGGAATCATACCTGGATGACCTTTAGCATACTTTAAGAACCGGAACATTTCTTGCTTTCTTTTTATTTTACAATTGAACAACTCACTACACTTAGTTTGCTAGATAATAGAAGTTTACGGAGTAGGCAGTAGATCGAGACCTCGGGTTGATATTAAAACTGAACCACTATTCTGCATTTCCATCCACGATTTCACTTGGTCGTAGTTTGGTGTTGTGTCGTAACGAGTCAATCTGCTTAATTGTGGAGCCTAAAATCAGCGGGATAGAGCCTTGGAAGTGGTGCACAAGATGGGTTACGATAAGGAGATGATAGTTGATGCGGTGGGCTTTTGCGGTGGTATCTGGCTTGTTTGGGACTCCTCCATGGTCACCATTACTGAGGTGGATCGCTCATCTCAATTTCTTCATGACCAAGTACAGAGTGGTAATGATATTTGGCTCTTCACAATGGTGTATGCTAACCCCGCTTTAGTGCAAAGACGGGAGTTGTGGCAATCAATCTGCGTTATCTCAGAGGATATGGAGCTTCCATGGCTTCTCGTAGGTGACTTTAATTCTATATTGTACCCCTCGAGGAAGATATCGTTCGATACAAGTCATGCACGTGACTTCTATGAGTGTGTTCTGGATGCCGAATTAATAGACCTAGGCTTCACTGGGCCACCCTTTACTTGGTTTCGGATAGGAGTTAAAGAGAGGTTGGATCGTGGACTGGGTAACCTTGCATGATCCAACTTGTTCACGAAGTCTGTTGTTTGCCACCTTCCCTATGTCAAAAAGAGAGATCACCGCCCACTCATAGTTCCGTTGAACCTAGACTTCCAGGCTATTGGTCCTAAGCCCTTTAAGTTCATGGCACTGTGGTTGACCCATGAAGGCTTCAAGGAGATGATGGTTCATGCATGGAGTAAGGGTACTGATCTTCTGATTGCCATTGCCGAGTTCTCTACTGAAGCCAAGAGATGGAACTATGCTATATTTGGGAACATACTGAGAAAGAAGGATTCGCTTATACTAAAATTGGAAATCAAACATGGGGCCAAATTTGATTGTGCCGAGTTACAGCAAGCAAGGGATGAGTTAGAGGAGGTACTTTTCCAGGAGGAACTTCTGTGGTGCCAAAAATCATGTGAAGATCGGGTAACAATGGGTGACCACAATACTAAGTATTTCCACCACTACCGGAAGGAATTATGTGGAACATCAGGAGTGGCATGCAGACGTTATTCTAGACTAATCGATGGCTCAATGATGTCCCTCCTCTTGTAGAGTTTGCTCCTCAGCTTCCGGATGAGGCCAAAACACTTACTTTAGCGGAGATGGTGCTGAACGATAGTTGGAATATGGACTTTATTAGAACTTTTCTTTCGAAGGATATTGTCGCATAGGTTCTTCTTCCCGATCCCTCAAGAAGAGGACCCTCATACCCCTACTTGGCGTTTCTCCCCGTCTGGGCAGTTTACCCTGAAGACGACATGGGAGCTTCTCCCGGGAGGGGGGGTTAGTGACAGGCCAAGCAATCCGATCTGGAAGGCTATTTGGCAGATTCTAGGACCTCAATGGATGAGAAATTTTCTTTGGTTAGCCACTCATAACCGACTCCTGACGAACGCTGAGAGGCGACGACGACACTTGGTACAAGGAGATGAATGTCTTATATGTGGAGGCGGCCCTGAGACGACGATCCATATGTTGCGTGAATATCCGTATGCTAGAATGATGTGGGAAGAATTCCTAAACGAGGAACCAGATGCAGTGTTCTTTGAGGAAGATGTGAATAAATGGGCGATTCACTACTTGTCCGACCATAGTTCAACTATTGACCCTACTCTATTCGCAATTCTTTGTTGGCAACTCTGGAAGAATAGGAACCTATGGGTCTTCGAGAAGCAGCTTGCGTCGGCTTCCCAAATGATTTATAAGGTGCAGGTGCTACGTAATGGAGTCTCAAAAGGTTTGGAAAACCTGCAGCAGGTGACCGACGAGAATCATTATCGGGCTGCTAGGATGATCGGCTGGCAAGGTCCAACGGATGGTTGGGTTTGTGTTAATATCGATGGCTCTGTGGTCATGGCATAGGGTAGTGCAACGACAGGGGATGTTCTGAGGCAGGCTGATGGGAGATTTATATCGGCCTTTTCGGTCAACTTGGGTGGCGACTCGATCACCCTGCGGAGCTCCCCGGCATGGTTCAAGGATTGCGAATGGCATGGGCGAGCGATGCAAGGAAGTTTGAGCTTCAAATAGACTCCATGACAACAGTTCAGCTGCTGCAGACGAATGCGGTACACCACCCGCATCGCACGTTGGTTGCTGAGGCGCGGCGACTTCTGGGGATGGTTTGGGAAGTTAGTGTTAAACATGTCTACCGAGAAAGCAAACACATTGCTGACTATTTGGCGGGTCGTGGTCACTCTTTGCCAGTTGGGGTTTATATGTTAGATAACCCAAACCCTATGTTGAACTATTGGTTATACTTCGATGTTGGTGTGGTCCAAACCTCTCGTGTAGTTAATGATTAAGTGCTAGAGCGCCCCTCTTCACTCTTTTTCTCACAAAAAGATAACTAATCCTTCTATTTTAAACTAATTATATATCTTTCATTTTAACTCGAATTTCAAATTTATTTAAAAAGAATCGTATTAGTTATGATCTACAGCATGCAATTTGTTAATTTTTTTGTTGTTGTTGCATAAAACACATTTTTTATACTAGCATTTAACAATTACTGGTATGCATGTGGTATCTATTCAAGCAAATAAAATTATGTATTTGCCTTCTACTGGTATGCCTTTGGTGTTTATCGGAGTGCATCGATAGATATGCATTTGATATTTACTTGTATGCATTGATTGGTTGCGGGTATACATTATTAGTTTTTTTGTGTGCATTGGCTTGTAACTGATATGCATTGAGTTGTTTCTAGTATACATTCACTAGTTACTTATATGGATTGTTATCATTGATATGCATTCTCAAATTTCTAATAAACATTGAATCTTTTTTGTTGTATCGATTCAGGTGATTTCTGAAATGGAATCATGCATGATATACATAAACTTTTGTATTCGTTAGGAAAATTCTTAAATGCTTTCACGACTAGATTCTTATGATAAAAAACATGAAGTCAAAATTAAGAAGAAAAAAATACAAATTTATTTTTAGTGTGTTCCTTTTTTCCTACTAGCACTGGGCTCGGCCGGTTGGCCGAGTAACCTTAGCATGACCATACATTTGGTGCAAGTTGACTTGTTAGGTAGAATTATGATAAAGTATAATCTGAAATTCAAAAATATCAAGTGCTTACATAACACTAATAGATTGAAAGGTCCTTAGATGCTAATTGCTTGTTACGCTAAAACTATAATAAGAAGTATATGTGACTTGCTTCCTACATAACATGCATAATGAAGTCTAAGCATGAAAATAAAGGGTTTCCCGCCGATGGATTTCAGAGCATCGATGAAGTGATTGTCTCCATAGTAATCTTCCTTGGGAGATTACACCTCATGTGATATAGCTCTAAAATTGAAATACAAATGAGATGTCGCACTATGCAGAGTCACCAACAATACTAAACTCGAAACTAAAATTGCCTCCTTGGTGATGACCATACCATACGCAAATCTGAGATGAAGCCTCAAATGATGTAGTTATAACCCTGCAAAGTCACAACAATTATGTCCCTTGTCTATGGAAGTTTGATAGCTATAAACCCACACAATGGTAAGTTTTAAACATATTCAATATCATCACAATGTTGGAATAAATGCTGCAAAATTCACAAAATTGCGTCTCCTTTTCAATGAAAGTGTGATCGTTGTAAATATATTCTATCCAATGATGATTTTGAAACATATTTGGTGAATATAATTTATTAACCAAACTTTTCCAATTATTAGTCTAAGCTTTCGAAATAAAAAATATTAGCCAAATATTTTGTAACACATCAAAATATTAGTCATTTTTCTGTCATTGCTAGCACTGGGCTCGGCCCATTGGCCGAGTAACCTTAGCATGACCATTCCATTCTTTATATTTATACTATTATATATACGACCATTCCATTCTACACTATGATATACTCATATATTAAATACTATAAAATTTTACCGTCATGATATATAGTTGTAAAACATGATATTATATTTTACGCTAAATTGCGTTAAAGTGTGTGTCGTTTTGAAGCGTACGATTAATATGTTTCATTTGTGAAAAAATAAATTTTGAATTAAAATAAGGGTAATGTCTATTTTTTATCCAAACATTTTCCAGATTCTTTTATATTATCCAAACCTATTAAAATTCTATGAATTAGCCAAATCTTTCATAATGTATCAAAATATTAGCCATTTTTACGTAATCGTTAATAATTTTATAATTCTTTTCTTAGTTTAAATACCAAAGTTTGGAATGTTGACTTTCATGTGTATCTTCCAAGTCAGTATCATGTTGCCAAGTCAATATTACTAACAAAATTGCTAATTGGAAGTTATCATTTGACTAATTCTTAGTATTTCAATAGTTTGGATAATATAAAAAATCTAAAAAAGGTTTGGATAAAAAATAGGCATTACCCTTAAAATAAAAAGATACCGTCTCTTAGATTCTAAGTAGGGGGAAATTAATTTTTGTTGAATAATTAAATAGTTATGGTTAAAGTAGCTATGAGAAAATATGAGGGGTTATAAAATTGGAATGCATGTGTTAGAAAAAAAGTCGAAAAAAAACAAAAAAGGAGCATCAAAATGAAAACGCACAGCTTTATGAAAAATGAATGCAAAGACCTAAATACCCTACCGACAAATGCGCTCATTGCAACAAAATTCAAATGGTGAAAATAGACCTATGAATCTCTATTATATGTTTTCTAGATTCTAGATTATTTCCTTTTCTATTGGTAGCTTTTGGTGAAAAGGCCCACAAAACGTGAACTTGTTAGATTTTTCTATAATTGATTAGAGGTTCTCACCAAAATCATAAAGCTTTGGGCGATACCACCCTATCTTCTCCCAAATTGGTAATCTTCCAAACACTACTAAAAATCTCATTATGTCATAAATTTAGTTAGATGACTTATCCAAGGCTAACATAATTAATCAATGATCTAATTGAACTTATCTAAATATAATTCATTACAATCCATAAACTTCATCAATATGAGATGGAATGGGATTAGGTAAGAGGTTAGCACCATGCTAATTATGTTTCCAACCGTAGGATAAAAATCTAATCTAACGATTAAAATTAAATAAAGGTTAATTTGGTAAAAAACTATAATAATTAACCCAAACCTTAATATATAGCCTTTGCCATATATATATATATATATATTCTACCCACCCCAAATTATAGCCGCACCTGCACCCTTCTTGTGAAACTGTCGCTCGGCCTCCTTCCCCTCACACACTCTCTCTCAAAATCACTCATCCCACCATTCTCTTTCAACAATGGCGAGGCATCCGTCGACTGTTGGAAATGTATATGAATAGCTTTGAAAGCTATAGAGTCTCTAGTGGAAAAACTACCATATTGATAGTTTTACTTGGTGAAATGTGTATAAAGATAGGAGCCTCTCTCCCAAGGGCATGCCCCTTGGGGTGACCCACTTTTGTGGGAGAGGGAGGACCTAACGGACCACCACACACGCGCGCGCGCGCTGTCCGTCCGGTCGGTCGGTCGGTTGGTTGGTTGGTTCACTTGAGACTATATATTTATTTTTGGAGAAA